CAGAGTTTCTAATCTCCTGAAACTGATTCCATAATCCTCTATTCCTCTGATGTATCTCAGCACTCTTTTTGCAGCTTGGAAGTGCATTTCACTTGGCTTTTGACTGAATCTAGATAGCAGGTTAACAGCAAACATTATATCTGGTCTTGTGGCTGTAAGATAAAGTAAGCATCCAACCAAGCTCCTATATATCTTTTCATCCGTTTTCTTTGCACCATCATCCTTCATCAACTTTGAATTTTAAAGGCATTGCCTGAAGTGCTCTTCATGTCATCAGCTGAACCAGCCCAATCGATATCAGTAAAGCCTGTCAAAACCAGAGTTTCTGATCTCCTGAAACTGATTCCATAATCCTCTATTCCTCTGATGTGTCTCAGCACTCTTTTTGCAGCTTGGAAGTGCATTTCACTTGGCTTTTGCCTGAATCTAGATAGCAGGTTAACAGCAAACATTATATCTGGTCTTGTGGCTGTAAGATAAAGTAAGCATCCAACCAAGCTCCTATATATCTTTTCATCCGTTTTCTTTGCACCATCATCCTTCATCAACTTTGAATTTTGAACTAAATGAGTGTTAACTGATTNTTTCAATTCTCCATATTGAACTTCTTCAACACTTGTTTAGCATACCTCATTTGGCAAACAAAAATACCATTCTCTGTTTGATTAATCTCCATTCTAAGGAAGTATTTCATTTCTCATAAGTCTGTCATCTCAAAAACATTCTTCAATTCATCATTTACCTCTTCAATTAAGGCTGCATTGCTTCTTGTGATTAGAAGATCATCTACATAGAGTGAAATGATAAGCAAATCCCCCTCCACTGGTTTGATACACTCTTGCTGAAACCAAGACTGCTGAAATGACTATCAATTATGCTATACCAACTCATTGGCGCCTACTTCAAGCCATATAAGGCTTTCCTCAGTAAATACACCTTATCTTCTTCTCCTTCTTTGGTAAAGCCTTCGGGTTGCTCAATAAAGATCTCTTCATTCAGATGCCCATTTAGGAAGACAGATTTTACATCCAGCTGATATATTTTCCATTTTGATTGAGCAGCCATTGTAAATAATACTCTTATTGTTTCAAGTCTGGCAACAGGAGCAAATGTATCAATAAAGTCAATTCCAAACTGCTGAGCATAGCCTTTTACAACTAGCCTAGCTTTGAACGTATTAATTGAGCCATCAGCATTCAACTTTGTCCTGAATACCCACTTAACTCCTATGACATTTTTGTTTCTTGGTCTGTCAACAAGCAACCAAGTGTCATTCTTTTCAATTGCCTTTAGTTCTTCCTTCATAGATTTTATCCAATCTTTGGAATGAGCTTCTTCATTATAGATTGCAGGCTCCAGAATTGTAGTTAGCATAAATATCCTGAAGTGATCTGGTTCTTATCACTTCATTTTCTGAGTCTGATTCACCCTCAGGTTCAGCTTCATCTCCCACTTCTTCTTCATCATTACCAGCATCTTCTGTTTGAGAAATCAGTCTAGGAGTCTCAGATTTGTTCACAGCATTTGACTCTCAGTTCCATGAGGAACTTTCATCTATTTTGACATCTGTACAGGAAGTAACTTTGTTGGTTTGAGGATTATAAACTCTATAACCCTTAGTTTTATCTCAATAGCCAACCAGAACTCCTGCCTCAGCTTTTTGGCTTAACTTATCTCTTTTGGCATTAGGTATATGCATATAGCACACACTTCCAAACACTTTCAAATGTGAAACATTTGGCTTAACTCCATACCAAGCCTCATAGAGAGTTAACTTGTCCAGATCTTTTGTAGGCGGCCTGTTGTGTAGGTAAATTGAAGTATTCACAGCCTCAGCCCAAAAAACTTTAGGTACATTCTTCTCCAGCATTAAACACCTAGCCATTTCCATTACTGTTCTATTCTTTCTCTCACAGACCCCATTTTGCTGACGTGAGTAAGGGATTGTCAGTTGATGTTTAATCCCTACCTCCTTACAAAATATGTCAAACTGATTGTAGGTATACTCAGTCCCATTATCAGTTCTAATGGCCTTAAATTGAATAGTCACTTTAATTTTCAACCAGGCTCCTAAATTTCTGAAAGACTGCAGGAACTTCTGACTTCATTTTGAGAAAGTAAACCCAACCCTTTCTGGTGAGATCATCAATAAATAAGATAAAGTATCTACTGCCATTTAGGGTTGAAGTCATCATAGGTCCACAGACATCAAAATAAACCAGTTGAAGTTTGGTTTGAGCTCTCTTGGACTGGTTTTTGGGGAAAGAAAGTCTGGGTTGTTTTCCTTTTTCGTAGATTTCATAGACACATGCAGCATCACATATTCTTGGCATATTTTCAACTAACTCATGTTCATTTAATGCTTAAGTGAAGTATAATTAACATGCCCAAACCATTTATGCCATAATTCAGATTCAACTACAGTGCTAGTAAAGGCATGTGAATTTATATTTTTCCACTCCAATGGGAAGCTTCTATGCCTCATCTCAATTGTCATCAACTCCAGGTTGTTTTGGTCCAAAAATTTTGCAACTACTATCCTTAAATATTAAGGTATAGCTCTTCTCAACTAATTGGCCAACACTTATCAAGTTTTGGTCAATATTTGGAACATAAAAAACATCATAAATGATTTTAGTACATGTTGGTGTCTGAACTGAAACCTTGCCAATGCCTTTCACATCTACATACTCCCAATTTCCTACTTTCACTTTTGATCTGTAGCCATCATTCATCTCCATGAAAATCTCTGCATTTGATGTCATATGATAGGTGCAAGCACTGTCAAGTAACCATGTTTGTACTCCACTACAAGCTGTGTAATTTAAGGCTGAAAATAGATGTTCTTTAGCCTGATCTTCTGCTACTTTTGCCTGCTGAGCTCATTCTTTTCCTTCTAATTTTTGCATACCTTTTCCACGTGTCCAAATTGTTTACTAGACCTACATTGGACTCCAGGTCCGAACCAATACCATTTAGGTGAATGACCTTTCCTTTTGCAATGTGGACAAGGAGGGTACTTAGCATCCTTTCCTGAACATTTAGCCGCAGCTTCTTTCTTCTCGTTTTGTGGCTTCTTTCCACCAACATGTGTTTGAGTTCTCTACTTTCCTTTAGCAAACAGAGCACCCTCAATCTGCTCTTCTTGCCTAAACAATCTCCTTTAATCAGTGGCTTGAAGGGCATTCACTAATTCAGCCAAAGAAATGCTAGTCAAGTCTCTTGAATCTTCAAATGAAGAAATCTTGGATTCAAACTTCTCTGGCAAACTGATTAGCACTTTCTCCACTACTCTCTTGTCTGGAAAATCATCCCCAAGCAATCTGATCTGGTTTACCACTTTCATTAACCTGTCAACAAACTCCTTAACCGTCTCTTAATCCTTCATCTTTAATGTTTCGAACTCCCTCCTGAAGCTTAGAACCCGCATTTGCCTGGTCCTTTCATTGCCTCTGAATTCTTCCTTCAACCTATCCAATGCTTCCTTTGCAGTTTCACAAGAGATTATCCTTGTGAATATAGCATATGAGATGGCTGATTGTATGCAAGAAATGGCCTTAAATTTCTTGGCTATCTCCTCACTATGCTGCTTCAGCTGGGCTATGGTGGGATTAGCTCTTAAATGTGGTGGTTCTACTCCAGTTTCAATGATTTCCCACGAGTCGTAGGCCTTCAAATATGCCTTCATTTTTGCAAACCAGAAGTCAAAGTTTTCTCTTGTGAATGCTGAAGGTAAAGGAGCGGAAAAACCACTTGAAGCCATATCATTCACTCACCAAAAAACACGACTTTATAAGGAGGTAACTTACTGGTTTTCTCTCAGTTACCGGTACGGAAAGTTCCTACCAGATATGGTAGATCTTACCAGTTTGAAAGGTTATAGATTTGAAGAGAATGAAAGAAGAAATGGGTTGTTGAACTTACTGGTTTTGCACACAACTTACCGGTTTTGCATAAAACACTATGTTTTCTGTTTTTTCTTCCCTTTTTCATTCCTTCAAAGATCAATCAGGGCTCTGATACCACTGATAGAATGTAGAAGACAAAGATGAGGGAAAGTATTCAATCTCATCCAGAAAATATGGTGGAACACGGCTGATTCATATAGCCATACATTTGGTACAATTCAAATTGATTTCCAACAACTATTCTACCTAACTCCACTCTTCCATACTTGACTGAACATATGAACAACTTGCAACACCACATGCATGAATTATAAAACATAACTTAAGCTATCATAAGTTACAAAAATATATGTCAGCTAAAGACAACAAAAAACAAATGGTTTGACAACAAAAGTGTCACACATGACACGGTTCATTAGTATTTATATTTATGGCCTGAATATTTTAAATCTATTAAAATCCATATCCTTCTAAATCAAGTAGTTATTGAGGACACCTAAATTTCTAAAGAAACTAATAAAATTCAAGTTGAGGACACCTCAATTTTTTAGCATTTCTAAAATATAAGTTGAGGACGCCTCAATTTTAACAAAGTATATTTTAATCTGAGGACACCTCAATTTATATGGAGTTTTAAAATCTATTAAACTCTTAATTGAGGACACTTTATATTGTTATGTTGTAATCTTTGAGTTCTGCTTCATATCTGCAGTATCATCTACTTTGAAAGTTGAATGTATACTACGGTACACAGCGTTGAAATAAATAAATAAATAACTGGCAAATTATATTGCATTAATTTCTTATTTAAGTGTCTAAACATGCACATAGATTTGATCGAACTGCACATTTATGTTGAGTTTGTTGTTTAACGTTTACTTTAATGAAACAAAACATCATTAATGTTATGAAACCAAAATAACATTAATTAGGCTCTTAAATAGATCTTCACAACAATAAATTTCATGAGTAATGACACTCAACTTAAAATTCTTTCTTCGGGCTAATTATTATATAAATTAAGAGGGTCATATGCTTCCTTAATCACCCAACAAACAAGATAAGCAAAAAACTTGTGGAAAAAGAGCAAAAATGGCTTGTTTCTTTCATGTCTCATTCTCTTCTGCGTTGATGTCCATGGCCTTAATTTTCCTGTCCGTAATTCCATCTTCTATATGTCACCAAGTAAACGAAAATGATCTTGTAAACATTTGCTCGAAAACCCATGATGCCTCTGAATGTTTGAATCTGTTCAAATCGGATCCTAGAAGCTTGAACACAGATGAAAAGGGCCTAGCAGGAGTTGCGATCGACCTTGCGTTGAAGAAGGCCGATGCAACCCACACCCAGTACAATCAACTTTACAGCGACTCCAGGGATTATGAACTTCAGGAAAAATATAATTCTTGCTCCAAGAACTACAACGATGCCATTCGTGATCTTAAGGAGGTGAAAAATGAATTGGATAATAATCGTAATAAGCTCATTCATGTCGAAATAAATGATGCTCTGGAAGAAATTAATACATGCATAAGAGCATTCGAGAGGGATCAAATCGACCCAGTCCAAATGAATTACCACAACCTACAATTCAAGCTTCTTTGCTACATGGTTAAGTTTACGACAGAAAGTTTGGTCTAGAA